TTTTAAATCTTAGTTTTATGAGTCTCTCTATTGAGTCATGTAATTATGCAGCCTTGAGGTCTTCATTCTTTAAGCATGTGATCTTTTAAACCATCATTTCTAACTAAATCATCCAAATCAAAGAAATTGTTAGGAACATATCATGTAGATAGCTTTTTGAGCGATGATAAACAATTATATAATAGTTGTGTAGTTTACAATTGATATTTTTTTACCAAAGGGTTGTTTAGTTCGCAGAAAAAAGAATGCAATATAACTAATGAGTGTGTTCATAATACTTTGGAGTTCAAATATCATAAAAGAATTTTCAAATATAGTTTGGAAAATCATTATTAGAGTACTAAAAACTGAAGATTTTTACATAGATTATTCAATGTTAATCCTCTTTGCATCCTTTGTCTGTCAAAATGAGACAGACTCACCTCTTCTTTGAACGTCTCTACTCCCTTACTATTCTAATGGCATGCATTCTTGGTAGCCACTTTTTTTGTATGGGTTGTAATCTATTTCATTCATTATAACAAGCTTATTCTTTTAATTGTGTTGTTATTAAGAAATTTTATCTACTTGTGATTCATATTTCTGCACACTTCTTATGGCTTAAGAGAAACAACAAGATCTTTAATGATTCTTGCACCTCCATTTATATCTGGTCGATAAAATTATTTTTTCCATTAAGTGGAAATAGCAAAAATAGAAATTCAAAAGTTTGATATCCTCTATCATTTTGAAACTTTACTTTTCTCTTAATTAATGAAGTTTGGTCTTGTGTTAAGCATTTCTACTGCATTATATTTAGATTTGAGATAATGTTATTCTTATTTTGGTTCCTTTCGTATTGCTAGATAAAAGCCTATGATTTTTAGCCTATTTTGAGTATTTCAGTTTAGTTGGATTTTTGCCCCCAATATTTTCACTATTATTGTCTTGAACACCCCTTTCCTGCTTGTTGGATTTCGATGGTTATCTTTTTTTTGTATCCACTGTTATAATGAAACAATTACAAAACTAGGATTTGGCCACCAGACTTTAAATTATTATTTTTTCTCTCCATCTTTATTATTTTGGCACTTTTATTTGGGTTTATATGATGGTACCCCACTTTAGGTTATACTATATTTCAGACTCAATTATCTATTATGATTTTTTTGGGTGGTTGGGTAGCTACACATTGTTTATTCACCGATGCTTATAGCTTTCTGGCTATTTTGTGATTCAAATCTATTTATGAATCTATGCTACACTACAATGGTTGCTTTCTTCTTGCCTTTTATGGGCTACTATGGAACATATGCTACATTTGGATATCTGGTCATTGGGATTTTGATTTTGTTGTTCTAACTTCTTATTTCTTTGGTCCTTCCATGTGAGCCCACTTCATGATATTGCAATTGAGACTAAGATACTATACTTAAAACTTAGTTATTCTCTTATAACATTGTTTTTTAATTTGAGCAATGAGGATATCCAATTGTGGCAAGCCATAACCAAATGTCTTAGAGAACATTTTCTTCTCAACCTTGAGATTGTTTTCAAATTGTGGCTTCTATTGCTCTTTGCCAAAAAAAAATTAGTTATACTAACTTATTTTACAAAAACTACTCTTACTGCTAACTCTTGATGTATTTCCTTCTTAACTTGCAAGCTCTCTAATCTTTTTTGCCTTGATTCACTTGAGCTCATATTTTGTGTTGTTTTATAGCACATTCTTATTTGACTATTTTTGGCCTTTTTGATTCTCATTTTCTATAGTTTTAATAATAGTTTTTGTTTTGTTTGGAGCCACAAGTGCAATAATATCTTTTCCTTATAGTGAAGTTGGCACGACCCTCATTTTACCCAAGAAAAAAAACTTCAGAGTTATTTTGTAAATTTAAGACTTTATATTTTATTGTTTGATTTGAAGGAAAATGATATTAATTTGAAATACGCTCGGTGGTAGTGGTGGTGTTGTGTGGTTGCCGACAACAACTACAATAGGTGACTGCATATAGTGACTAGTGGCTGGCGATTGCGTAAGGCTGTCAGAGGAAGGTGTTTGGTGGCATCAAGCAGAGGTAGGCTTGATGGTGTGTGCAACAAGAAGAAATATTACATCAGTAGTACGCACGTAAAAATAACTTGCGTAGCCAATCAAAACACGCCACAACATCTCGCGCGGTATAGCAAAAAAAAACGGCGCAGTAACACGGGGAATATTCCCTCCTGTGTTATTCATGTGTTATTGCGCGTTATTCATGTGTTATTGCGTGTTATTCATGTGTTATTGATGTGTTATTGTGCTATTATAACACCAAGAATATTTTCAAGATACAATAATACATGAATAACACACGATAACACTTGAATAACACGGGAAATATTCCCGACAGAGAAAAAAACGGCGCAGTAACACGGGGGAATATTCTCTCCCGTGTTATTCTTGTGTTATTGTGTTTTATTCATGTGTTATTCATGTGTTATTGTGTTATTATAACACCAGGAATATTCCCAGGATACAATAACACATGAATAACACACAGTAACACATGAATAACACGGGGAGGAATATTCCCCGTGTTACTGCGCCGTTTTTTTTCTGCGTCGCGCGGGATATTGTGGCGTAATTTCATTGGGTACGCACGTTCCTCTACGTGGGTAGTACTGATGTAATACTTTTTCGTGCAACAAAGGCTGCAATTTATAATTTATTTGAAAATTCCTCAAATTTAACGAAATTCAAATTCATCACGTTGGCTGCATAGCGAATTCCAAATCAATTACAATGCCTTGCAATTTAATCCAACCAAATCTCAAAATTTAGAAAATCCATACATTACATTTACTTTACACAAGAAATACACCAAACCAAATAGCCCCTCAGTTGAATGGTTATAATTTGAGCATGTAATCCCACCTGCCACGCTATAGTATGTAAAGAAAAGAAACCAACTAAGAGCTTTGCTGCTTCACTTATGATTAGCTTTGAGTGAACCCAATTTTTATTTGTTCGTGGTTGATTCATTTACAATTCATCTGAACAGAGTTGGCTCATGTTTGAAATGACTTATAAATATCATATTTGTGTCTGACTAGCTCATTTTGCTTATTTGTTTGCAGCTTGTCTTCAACTCAAATGATTTTAAAAAATAAATTTTAATATTTATAACAAAATAATTTACAAATGTTATAGCAACTATTAATTATTTAATTAATATGAACTAAAATGAGCCAAAAACAAAAGGTAAAACTTTATTCGAGTTAGGCTTGTTTATAAACCAAGCTTAAAATAATTCTTCGTGATTGGTTCACTTGTTTCAAGAACAAATCGAAAATGGATTATTTAGCGAACCCGAACAAGAATTATTCATTAAAAATATTAAGCTAAAAAATATCCGGATATTCTAAGTTAAAAATTAAGAAGTGTCTATATGTCTATGCCGAAGTCGAACTATTATGTATTTATATTTTTTGAACTACTATAAATTTATGTAAATCGACATCCTTTTACATGGGGTTGCTTGAAAAGAGGCTATCCTCGCAAAAATAAATAAATATTTGACGCCGTTTAAAAATACATACGAAACAAATTTAAAATATTTAAATTGAGGGCCATAAAGCATGATTTGTTGGAGCGTCAAGTGGGATCAAGAACATGATTTTCCGACTAAAATCAGCCGTCGTGTCCTTAATACACCATCAGTGGCAATTTTTAATATTTGATTTAGAGGATTTTACATACGAGAAAATTTTGCGTGCGTCTTACGTAGGCTACAGAGAGGATATTGGAGGTTATATCAGTATTATACCATTTATAACATCCCTATAACTAGCTATAACCTACCTGTAACTAATAAGTTCCACACTTCTATTTTCATATATTTGTAAGTTACATGTAAGAGATATAACGAGGATATAACCCTCAATACCTTTCCGTATAACCTACCCGACGTATGCAAAATTTTTTCCTTTACATACACAACACTCAAAATTTTTCTATTTGCCTATATATATCACATTAAAGCTTTCATAATTACAAATCTCATATAAAAAATAACACTCATTATCACCTTTTAATAGTCAAATTAATCTTTTCATCCATAAACAAAGTATTATGTGTATAAAAAAGAGAGGTATATCCATAATAATTATCAAAATTTCCCTTTAATTTAATATATATTGCTGTAATGTTAGCACCTTTAATAAAAACGAAAAAATAAAACATGAAGATTCACATATTTACCACACAAATTTTATTTATTTACACATCCAAAATCCAATTTTTGATATTTGAACTTATAACATGATAGATTCATAAAACTATAAACGAAAAGTTTTATTTCACTGTTAAGTTAATAAAAATTGTATTTTTAATGTAATATTAAAGATTAGTGATATGCATGTATTTTTAGATGTTAGATATGTAAATATAAGAATTGTGATACATACGTAAAATACTGCCAACATTTCTTATGGGCTATTCTAAATTGACTCGATGGGGAACAATAGTTACTGCTAGTTTTTATCCACTGTAAATCCTCTATTTTATTTTATTTAGCAGTAATTACAGCAAACCCTTCCTGTGAGCAACATACAAGCAGAGCATAACATAAAACATCCCAAAAAAGCCAGTTCTTATCACATCTAAGAGTTACTTTTTACATTTTTACCACCCAAATCTTTCATATCACATACAAAATACCATTATTTTAATTTTTAAATAGTGGAATTCAGCTTTTCATGCAGGATAAAATGGCATAAATCTAAGAAATTGAAATTCAAGTGTTTAAACATGTAAATACATAATAATTGAATGGTATGCATGTAAATCCTCCTTAAAATGAAAAAAAAACTGCATTTGCTAAGATTTCGACCAAATATTTCAGGAAAATAAAACAAAATCCTGCACAGTTACTTAAATAACACCTACTTTTCTGGTTCAGATATGAAACATTTCAAAACTTATTGATGGCAGGAGAATTCAGTATAATATATATATCGATCATTTAGAAAAGTGGGACTAAAAAATTCAAGCCACAAATTTGAATTTAAAAGCTTTAAATTCGTATAAATTCAACAGCATGAAAAGGCTTACCATCTCAACGGTCAAAAAACAGAACCAATACAACAGTACAATCTCAGCTTTATATATATTTCCACCCAATGTGCGAGTTTTTTTTCATGTCATCCGACAGAAATTTCCGCAAAATCTCATAAAACCAAGCGTGAGAAAATCCCCAAAAGCTGGAACCGGATAAGGATGACAGAAGCCAGTCAACAGGCACGAAATATCACCTCTCAGTATTAGCGGAAACCCTCTGCATTATCAAAGCCTCAGCTGTACGAATCGCTTCCGGGGCTCCAGTAATTGTTACCTTTCTGCAATGGGTATAATATATAAATATCATTTATATGAAGGCTTTAATGAAAATTAGAATATTACCTATCTGAAGTGCCAGACATGAAATCTCCTCTATCTGAAATTTTGATCTTGGCACCGCTAATCTGCAGAATACAGGCAAGTCTGTGACTTTGATTGTTTAAGATTCAAGCTGTTTTAGTATATTTTCAAATAATTTCATGCAACTAAGGAATAGAAGAAATGTGCCATAAGATAATAAAAGGAAATCATCAACGAAGATTATTGATCGTTCATACAAGTTGTTGAACAAGCTTGGAAAGAAATAGATAATGTTTTGGAGTTTCGGTGAAAAAGATGAGCAGACGTCAGTCATCACTCATCACACTAACAATATATTGTAAAATAGAACTTCAATTTATGGTTCTTCAATTATGATGTACCAACATTAATTACAAATAAGTGCGAAATATCCGACATGCACCGGACATTGACAAGCGTGCTACACGTGTTGGACACATGCCGCGAGTCCAATTAAAAAACAAAAAAAGAATTTTCACGCGAACATGTCCTAAAATGTTACATTTAAATTTTATAAATAGTAACAAAATTTATAATAAAATATCAGATTTTGATGATTTATGTTGTGCCAAGCGACTGATTTTTCTTTGAATGCAATATTCAAAATAAAATATTATTGATCATATTTTTAAGTTTTTATTAAATTTTGATTACTTGAGGTTGTTTGGGATCAATTTTTGCTTTGTCTTTTGTTTTTTAAAACAAAAAAATAAAGAAAACAAACAGAAAAAAACAATATTTCTCGATTTGTTTTTGTTTTATTTCTTAATTTATATTTAAACTAAACATTGTTGTTTTTAAAACACCCAAAAAACAAATAATGTGTTTTTATCTGTTCCTAAAACAAATTTTTTTTCTGCGACCAATCAGACCCCGACCTTGCCCTTGATATCCTCCGCTGAACTTCCCTCCCAACCTGGTTAGCACCACTCGCCCTCAACCTACCACACCATGCTCCACATATCAGTTACCTCCTGCTGCTTCTGCACCGCCAAATCCCTATTTTCGACGTCCTCTCTAGCGCCTGCCCTCCTCATCTCCCCCTCCCCAACCACGCTATCGATTTTTGCTGCTCCAAACGCCGCCTCTTCTCCCATGCATTTGAACTTTACAAGCTTATGCTGCACTCCATCGCCGGTCACCCCTCTCTTGAGACATTTTCCCTTCTCGCAGTTCTTGTCAATTGATTTGGCAAGCCCCCAATTTGCTACATCTATCTCTGTTCTGTCAGTTACAACTGGAGAGGACACTGTATCTGTCTGTATAAAGGAAGGCTTTTGGCTGGCACATGCATCTATTATACCAATAATGAATCACTTTGAGGATATCAACAGATTTTTTATTGTTGACTTGAGAGAAGCTTATTTGTGATTACTATCTTGAATTTGGCTTGTGTTTTAATTGCTCTGATGGAATAAGGAATACAAGGATGTCAGGGGGCCTTGATATCTTTCTAAATGTCAATTATGTCAATGAATTTTTGAAAAAATATAGTTTTATTTTTAAATATAAAATACTCAATCAAACATATTTATTTAAAAAAAAAAAGATAAATCATAACAGTATTAAACACGTTTTCTAAAAATAGAAAATATAAAATAAAGTTAAAACAAAACAAACTAAAAATAAAAATAAAAATAAAAATAGGAAACAAAAAGTAATCCTAAAAAGGGTCTTTTTTGTTGTATTTATTTTCACAATTTTTTAATTTTTTTCTACTATCTTGATTTATGAATAATATGACAATTAGTTATATTTTAGTCATTCTTAAATATCATTATTTTTTCATACTTATAATGTTCGGATATTTATTTATTTATTTCATGTTCATTTAACTTTTGTATACATATAGATTATTTTAAAAATTGATTATTATTATTAATATATACGGTGTCCTATATTTTCAAAAAATAGTCGCTTTCGTGTTGCCGTCTATGTATTGGTGCATCTTATTTCTTCAAAGAAACCTTTTTTTTTTTTTTCATGATACTCAAATTAGTAAGGCCAAACTATCCATCAAGAGAAACATTTATAGGCATATTGACATTTATTTTTGGCCTATATCATGTCCTTTAAGCAGACCTCTTCTAATAAAACATGTCACCAAAAAGATTACTAGAATGTTAACCACTTTGTTCTCACAAAAAACCGCCACAATAAACAAAAACTAAACAGAATATACTCATATGTTGCATGTTACATGAGGAAATCTAGAATGTAAAACTTAAAAGCACTAAAAAGATTTCATAGAAAGGAAATTACCAACCTGAGTAATTTCCATAATGTTTCTGCCTCCACGACCTACTACAGCTCCAATATGTTCATCTGCCACACCGAAGGTCACTGAACTTCCTTGGGCATCGGCGGTCCCCGCAGGTGACCTTGCAGAAGTTGCCCCCTGTTGGTGAAGTTAGAAAAGAATATCACTGTGTAATTAAATTAAGAATAGGAGCATCAACATACACGCCACCCAATACCTATGAAGCTCTATATCTAACACAAACTTTGATTTTTACATTAATACCACCCAAATCCTTCAAATCACATCAAAAATACCATTTTTTTTTTACTTTTAAAAAGTGAAATACACCTTTTCAATATAAGACAGCATATGTATGTAGAAGTAAAGTTTAGTGTTAGATATATGTAATTACATAGGAATTGAGTGGTATGTATGTAAATCTTCCTTAAGAATATCACGTGAGTCTAAACAAATTAAAATTAAAATCTAAATTAAACTATGGTAACAGATTTTTGTTAACATGAAGGAGACAACAGTAGCTGTAGAAGAAGCTTATCAAAATGTCAATGAAACGAAACAGTGTAACAGTACTTTATTATAATTTCATGTTAAACAGATCTACCAATGTGAGAAAGATATGACTTCCGCAAATACGTCCAGTTAATAAAAAAATGAATGAAATATTTTAAAACGTCGAGGAAACATAGGGAAATCTTTATTTGTAGGGAAGGGCGACCCAGACTTTTAGCTTGTTTGAGAGGATGTCAGGTGGATTTAAAGGAACCAAAGAAGGGCAGAGAAAACAAAAGTCACATAAAAGTAAGGATACTCAGCCATCCCCCCTCACTGTTTTTTTGTATGGTAAATAAGATATTATTTCATAAACCATACTAACATATTTCAAGACATATTGCAGCCAAATTCAATTATGCAATCAAATTTTGCCATATTTATAAAAAGGGACTATTGTAAGCATGAGAAGCCAAAGATTAATAGATTGAAAAATTATTCTTCTCAAGCAAGATTTACTCTTAAACGACACCCTAACCTGTCTGAAACTGTTCTTCCTCTGCAATTAACAAAGAACTCCATATCTACGAGTAGTTGCCTCCTACCGAGCGAAGAAAACAATCTTCCTAAAATCATACTAAGAATTCTACCCGATTACAAATAAGTTTAGAAATATAAAACACAAATTGAAGAATAAAGTCCTTTGTGAGTTTCACACTTCCTCTTCCTTCCACATATGAAAGAGAGTCATGTGTGGTTCTAGTTGCAACCTGATGCTTGTAAGAATGGAAGGACTGGAAAGCAATCATATCACATGTTATGTGATTTGATGCTCCAGGGTCTACTATCCAAGGTTGATTCTTCTAGTTGAGAGCAACAAGTGCAAATGGAAGACTATCTTGATGTGCTAGAAAGCTAGTAGAAAGCTCAAAAAATTCTCAGAAGCTTTTGAAGAGCTTCAAGTTGTTCCTTACTGAATAGAATATGTTCATGAGGTTTGTTTGCCTAATTGATGTTGTGTTTGTTTGATTTTTCCCATCACCTGACTTTATTGGGCTTCCAATCAGCAAGTTTCCCATAAATTTTCAAGCACTTCTCCTTCAGATGACCAAGCTTATTGCAATGTTCACACCACGGTCTGTTCTTCTTTGATTTATTGTCCTGAGATGATTTGTGTGTATGAAAGCCAAGTTGTCAACATTTTATCCAACAGAATTATCTTTCATCATGAGTTTGCTCATGTTCTATCCCTTGGTACTTCAACAAAGACTTCACAAATTGAGGGAAGAGTTTTGGTCCCAATGATTCTTCCTCTGACTTCAACTAGTTTTTTGTTGAGCCCTAGAAGGAACTTGAAGGTCCTTTTTTGTTCAACAATGGCTTTGTAAAAAGAAGAATCTTGTGAGCACCTATATGCGTATGTTTCATATATATCTAGTTGGAGCAAATATTTGAAGAGAGTGTTGAAGTGTTGAGTAACAATCAACACACCATGTCGCGAGTGTTGTAATTTAATTTCAATCTCAAAAAACTCAGAAGTGTTGTCAACACTTGAATAGGTTTCCCTTGTGGCATTCCATATTTCTTTTGTCATTTTATACAAAACTAAATTTTGTCCAATTTCTATGGTTATGTAGTTGGCAAGACAAGATATAACCATGTAATCCTCAATCTTTTATCGCCGATGTTTATGATCAGTAATTTTTTTGTGCAGGATTTTTCTCGATGAGTTGATCTTCTCCTTTACCACAAATGTACATAAAGACTGATCGAGAACATTGGAGAAAATTAGTGTCATGCAGCTTGCGATTGGTGATGCGAGATAAGATTTCAAATGTTGTAGAACCCAAAATCCTAGGTCCAAATTCAGAAATAACTTCTAAAGACAAAGAAGCAGCTTTTATGTTATATTTGTTCGTCATGATGAGTCGTTTTTAGGAGCTTTGACAGAGATTTCCACAAGATAAGCTGTCAGGCATCAATGCGGGATTCCAACTAGATTAAAAAACTGCATGTCAGTGACTCAGAATTGCTACTTGAAAAGAAAATTGTATGTCGTTAGCACAAGATTTCCAGAAGAGAGAGATTATTTGCCAAAAACACAAGATTTCCATTAGATAAGAAAATTCAAACCGAATAACGACTATAGGGAAGCAGCCGTAATCGCATCCTGTAGGGAAGGCCCGATTAGGATTTCCACTGAATCCAACCGAATAGCGACTAGAAGGAGACCCGCAAGAGAATTGTGCCCGGAAGGAGTCACACATAGGAATTGCTTCTAGAATCGTGCCTGAGAATCTAGGGCTCTAGCATAGCTGCAAGGAGAGGCCCGACAATAATAGCAGAGGAATTTAGGCTAGTTGGAGGAATTTCAAATGCTATAGGGAAGATTCCAAATATAGAGAGGCCTTGACGGCTGAAAGAAGGGCTAAAGTTTGTTTCTTTGCTCTGATACCATGTAGGCTTTAAGACAAACTTTCTTAGAGGAAAAAACTCTTTAATTTCTCACTAAAAAAATAACTAATGTAAATAGAAGTTAAAGTAAACCTCTTACAATTAGAGGAAAATTCAAAACATAATAAACAGAAAGAAATAAAACACAATACTGAATAATTAAGGGAGAATAATTTCTCCCCGCATATGTAACGACGGATTCATGGTTTCCTCAATGAACCTTACTTGGACAACCTTAGAGTTTGCCCAACAACCATGTGGTATTAGTTAATTAATCTTAGGGCATACTGTTCAACGAAGCCTTGGTGTGCTCGATGCCCATCTATAACTTCTTGGTCTGGCAAACCAAAAGGCCTAGCCTTCTCAATGGGTTTGGGCGACAACCCCACAACTCAAACCAACTTGGTACGACTAAACAAACTTTAAGTTGTGACATAAAACCGATGCAATAATAGAAGACATCAAACTATTCATAAGATCGGAATTTTCCAAAGAATATCTAAAAATGATATGAACTCTAAAATGTTATGCAATACAGCTACCATCTACTAATAATAACTAAAACTAGTTGGTTAGCTCAAAATCAAGAAACGGTTTTTATGAAATGCCATCGGGAAAATTCCCATAGAGTTATCAAATCAAATTGTGTATGATACATGGACACGCATCACACGGGAGGTAAGCAACTGGCACTCTTTTTTCATAGGATATTCATTCTCCAACCAAAATAAAATAAAATTAGGAAATGACTGCCCACAAACAAGGTAATGAAGGAATTCTCAAAAATGTCAAAAAATCAGATAGCAAGCATCATTTATGCTTAAAAATTGATGGATAAAAAGAATAAGGACATGACAAAAAATAATATTTGATGTCCTATAAATAAAATCCATACCCGTTAATTAAAAAACAAATGCACATTTAAACAAATTAATTTTATGTTCTGAGAAACAGGCGTCCAATCCTAGATCTTTGGCGATGAGATATCTATATCTAATATGTTCAATGATCAACATTGCACTGGAGATGAAATATCTATATCTAATATGTTCAATTATCAACATGACATTCCAAGTATTATAAAGAATCAGTGAAAACAGGGTAATATAAATGCACATGTACTTAAAGTTCCAAGATTGCAAATCTCACTTCTGAACTTTTCAATTAAAACAAAGAGTTCAACTCACATTAGAATACAAAGTTTGTGGTTTTAGAGCACAAAAACAACAAAGCAAGATAAACTATGTTATTATCCATCCTTGTTAAACAGCAATTGACTGTTTAATACAGTAAAATAAACCCCTCTACGTCAGTTTAAAAAGTCTTCATAATTCTTCTAATCAGTCCTCACGCAAGATAATTTCTGCTGTATTATGGAATTCATGTCAGAAGGAATCTAGGAACATGGCTAATTAATAACATAGATCAACCAAAAAGGCCTTGTGGCCACTACTTCAAATATCTAAATTTTCAGTTATTTAGATTAATAACAGGGTTTAAAGCCGGTAGGTAAGATGAATGCAAATGTAATTCATTTTGAAGTTCCTAGGGTCACCAGTATAACTTGGACAAATTGGGGTGGGATAAATGCTAAATAACTCGTCATCATTCACATGTAATAAACATGAAAATTTCATAATTATGAAAGATAGAATATTAAAACCTGAAATTCATATATTTTACTAATCACATATGCGCAGCAGGAGGAAAGGCAGAAAATTTCATATTAGAACATGCAATTCATATATCTAACCTTGGAACCAGTGTGTCTTCCTCCAATGCCATTAGGCCCGTAATTTGTTGCATTATAAGACATAGAAGGTATCACGTAGCCAACAGGAGCAGCGGGGAAGGCAGAAAAATTTGCCCCTGACGTTGAATTTTAAAGAAAAAAAGTTCAGACAATCTGACTTGAAAAGGTTAAGCCAAAAAGACTAGCACAAAAATGTGGATCTCGTAAATTTAAACAGACTTCGTAGCAAAATTCTACCAAATATTTTTAAATAGCAGACAGAAACATAGAAACAAGACAATGCACTTGCATGGTTATGACTTGAAAAGAAAAAACTAGCACCGGTTAGATGTTGAAGTACAAAAAGTAGTAATAAGATATTCCATGTCAAATTGCAAGCAGCGGTAGATGTGTGGACTGGTTATTTTTCATTGCAATAAATGGGCAAGACTAGCTGATACTGAAGATAACCTAAAATCACGATAGAAAGGCAGATTTTTATTATTCAAAACAACAGGGTTACAAAAAAGACTCAAAAAGATTAGAAAACACAACAAAACACCAAGATCCCGCAAGAGCCGGATAAGACATCCATGGACAGCGACGAGAACTGACGGGATAATTGACAGTAGATGGGATGGGAGAAGGCTAGGGTCTTGTTAGTGGCTGTGAGTGGGAGGGTTTTGCGGTTGGTTAATAGCAGAGGAGAGTGGGCCTGGTTATGGGGGAGCCCGGGAGGTAGGAATTGCAGGTGGGAGAATGGTAGGCCTGGAGGGGTGCAGCAGATGCAGCAGGAGTAATGTAGTGCGTGGAAAGTGCGGCAGGCTGGTGGAGCAGGTTACGGCAGATCCCGGGCTGGAAAGGGGACTAGATGGTTGGAGGAGAGCGGTAGGGAATGTGGGCGACACAGGGAAAGCTGCAGGGTGGTTATGGCCGAGAGAGGGAAGTAAGTTTTGGTGAACCGGCGGTCAGCAGGAGGAGGGGCTGGAGGCTGGAATCAAGGAAGAGGGACTGCGGATGGAGAGTGGAGGAAGGATAACTATCCCTTTCGGATCGAATTATAGACGGAGCGCCCCTCAAACCCTTGAAGAAGATCACCATCTCGGACGAGTTATAACTGGAACACCTACGTAGAGAAAACAACAATCTTCGACAAGCAGGACAGAAATCTGAAATCAAGAAGGCAAAAACTGAACCCTAAAATAATAAACAACATATTTATAATAAGATAGGACAAAAGGGGGAAGGGGTGGTATTTCTCACCCAATAGCAGCCGGCCGGTCTAGCCTCCCTGCTGGACTGGTCCCTTGGCCGAACCAACTGGTTCAGCCATAAAAGTCCAGCGTCACTAGCACTCACAATTTAAGAGGTTTACAATAATAGATTCAAGGAAAATGATGGTTTAAATTGTGAATGGTTAAGAACCTTTCTAATATGCCCAGAAGCAGCCCGGAACATCAGAAAAACTGCATGAAAACTGATGTTTGCATTTGCAGAAGTAATATATATGGTGTCAAATAAAAAAAAAAAGAAACTTGAAGAATAGCGAAAAATAAGTGATGCAAGATATAACAGTCTAGAGTTTCCACGAAAATCGCGCAAAATCACACACAACAAATTGAGGTTCAATAACTATGAATAAACAAATATTGCATTTCCTGATGAAACCAGAAAAAAGAGAAATATATGTCAACTACACATTTAATTAACAGCTTCAGCCGAAGAAAAATCTTTGAAAAAAAATGAAAAATGTAACAAAACACAATTTAATCAAGACTCATACAACAATTAAAAAAATACCAATCACAATATATTTGACCAAAATCAATTTCACTTGCCAATGAATCACAAAATATAAAAACAAAAAGTAACAAAAAAACACCAAATTAGAGATTTAAGCTTCACATCAGCACAAAAAAAAAAGAAAAAAGAAAATAAATAGCTTCCCCTAAAATTATCAATAAAAACTTGCACAACATTCTAAAATTTATATCCAACCATTCCAAAAACTTGACATAAAAATTTCTTTAATCAATAGTTCTTTGTCCATGCCTCGAAACTTCTAAATAGTTATACAAAATAAATTAGAATAAATCGTCAGCCCAAAGAGTTGAAAGTTCACTGGCAAAATAAGAAACGCAATTTGTGAGTCCATCTTAAGTAACAATTATATGCAACATTTTGGGATGGAACCGACATCCAAAGAAATACTCAGAAGTTTGAATCACAAGGGTTGCAAGGTGAGCAAAATAGCAAATTACAACTGAAAACTTCCTAAAAGAACTTTGCTGCAAATCATAATCAGCAAACAATAGAATAAAATGACAAATGACAAATGATAACAAATGAGATAAAAATCATGAAAGCAATTCGTTGAAGCACATATGCATTTCCACATTTGGTTTACTCAGGATACTCGAGTAACAAATCGGATTATCAATCAAATTCTTTGAATGCTATGATTTGAATCTCTTTCACATCTATTAATTGTGGTATGTCCATGAAGACTACCAAAAAATCATGATTGGATATACCACCATTCATCCAACTACTCCCCATTAATTTAATTCAAACATAAATATCAACTCTAAGCCTAAAACTTGAGAACCTCAGAACACAAGAGTACTATTTAGCTAGTAAAAGCGGTAATCAGCATAGAAAGCCTCGACATCTGGTCTAAAAAAACTTGATCTAACATTAGAAGAAATATGGTTAACTAAACCTAATCTATCCGAAGTAAAACAGTCTTTTCACAAGACTGAGGACGCTTGCGGGAAAGAGAGTGGCCTATTTTTTGAACTATCAAAATAGCATAAAAATAAATCTCCAATCATGGTCAAATAGAATGATCTAGCATTTAATGAATCTCATCATCTCATCCCTTTCAGATATAGTTGTGCAATCCATCCATTGAATTAGTCTGCCTCAAATTCATGAAATATGCAAGTTCCAAATTCTATCTATAACAGTTCAAACCCTATTAAGTCCCTATCTCAATCTAGGAAACCCTATCACAAAATCTATATACCATCCCACTTCTTCTCATAAATAGACAATGTCTACAGTAGAATACTCAATTGTTATTGCATAACTTTCACTATCTAATGAAAATCATAACCTCTGCAGCATTTTCTTCAATCCAAGCCACCAAAACATCATCATCAAGTGTTTATATATCTGACTGCTAGTAGTGTGAACGCTATAATCCGCATGAGCCTGTAAAATCTCCTTTCACCAACCCAAATAATTGATAACCCATAAACAACCTCCACATCTTACTATGCCACAGTCATCAACAGTTACTTATGCTCACTTTCTTGGCTTGGCTAGATGAGTCAATTTCAGGTATTTTTAGTCATTTTCTAAGCTCTCCAAATCCTCTCCTATGAGGTTAATTGAAAAGTCATGTGAGATAAATAGCCTTCATGCTAGGGGTGTAAAGAATTGAGTCAAGCTCGAGCTACAATCGACTTGAGCTTGTTCTTGATTAATTAATAGTCTCGAGCTTAATATCATGAGTTCAAGCTAGTTCATTTACTATAAGTTTCAAAAAGCATTTTTGGGGTGTACTCAAGGCGTGCCCTGGGGCGGAGCGTAAGGTCTTCCGCACTAAGTCCATGAGGGGGGCGTATACACACACGGGGCTTATGCCCGGGAAGTATTGGAGCACAAAACGCGCTCACAGAGCATACACCCAACCTCCCATTTGAATAAAAAGGGATTGAAAATACCACATTCTAAATACTTATTCGATTTGAGCCGCACGCCGTCATCCACTATTAAACCCAACCCAACCCAACCAAGCCCGCAGTTTGAACTCGATTTCTCCTTCTTCTTCCTTCCACTCCTCCGCACAGTAACTGTGCACTTACATCCTTCTTCTTGCTTCGACTTCGCATCATCCGCATCATCCTCTTCTCTCACATGCAAGCTCTCGCGCGCAGGGTTGGACAGGGCTTCTCTGCATTGTCTTCTCCCGCACTTGCCCGCATTTTCTCACTCGCACTCCCGCTACATCGTCTTCTCCTGTTCTCGCCAGAAGTTTGTGATGTTTTATGCTACTATATTTGTGGCTACTGTAGTATAGAAAGTAGAAACATTGAAATTATGTGTCTTTAATTTATCATTTTCTTGTAACACATTTCTTTCGTTACTATAATAATTGTGTTGCATTTGTTTATAATCTCACTATAGCTGCTACAATGAACCGCAATTTTTTTTCTTTCATGTTAAAATTTTGCTAAAGATCACTCTAGCTACAATATATCACAATTTTGTTTTTCCTGTATGCAATTTGCTAGAGGTGGATTTGATCTTTTTTCTTTTTAATGTGTTAAGTTAGTTATTAACTACCAGTAATGGAAGAGAAGGATTGTGTGGCCGGCAGTAGCCAAACTAGCAAGAAAGACTTTGCATGGCAATATACAACAAGCATGCCCAATAAAAAATAATTTCGATGGCAGTTTTGCATTTCAGTGTGTAGTGAAACAATAAACAGGATCAAACAACATCTTGCAGACACACACAAGGGCATTAAGCCATGTACTAAAGTCCCTACTGAAGTTCAAGAGAAATGTAAGAAAGCATTAGAAGAAGAAACAAAAGTTAAAGCACAACGTGACAGTGTCTTCAATGATATTAGAAGCAATGCAACAAATATTGGTGAAGATCAAAATGCTACAAACTCATCATTAGTTGACTCATACTATAGGCCACCTAGAGTTAGAGGTCCAATGGATTCTTTCACCACAACACAAGCAAGAAATTCAACTCTAAATTCTAAGTGGAAAAAAGATGAAAATAAAGAAGCATGTAGGACAATTGGTTGTTCTGTTACTCAGCCGAATTGCAGTTTAATGTTGCCAATGACCCATATTACATGCCTATGTTTGAAGCGGTCGCTAATTTTGGATCCGGTATTACTCCGTCTATAATGCATGAAATGAGAATTTGAATACTCAAAGATGAGGTTACTACAATCAATAAGATGTTAGATGAGCGTAAAAAGGTATGGAGTAAATATTGGTGTTATATTATGTCATACAGTTGAACAGATGAAACTTTGATTAATTTTCTTGTGTACAGTCCGACTGGGACTTTTTTTCTTAAATCTGTGAATGTTTCTAATGCTATAAAA